AAAAAAAAAAAAAAAAAAAAAAAAAAAAAAAAAAAAAAAAAAAAAAAAAAAAAAAAAAAAAAAAAAAAAAAAAAAAAAAAAAAAAAAAAAAAAAAAAAAAAAAAAAAAAAAAAAAAAAAAAAAAAAAAAAAAAAAAAAAAAAAAAAAAAAAAAAAAAAAACAAATAAAAATGAAATAAAAAGAATTAAAAATCGGATTAAAAAAAACTCAATTAAAATTTAAAAACGTTAAAAATAATAATAAATAAATAAAGAATAAAAATATTAAAGGTATTGAAGAAATCAACAATTTAGTTCATAATTTAATCAACTGATTGAGTGAAAAAAATAATTAAAAATATAAAATATCGATGAGCAGAAATAATTAAGGGGATGAAAATCGATTTTAAATACCCGATTTTTAAATGGAATTAAAACGAAATTAAAGAGGGGAATTAAAAATATGTAAATTTATAAATATATAAGGGTATAAAAATATATTAATTTATATTTATATTTATATTTAATTTATATTTATATTAAATTTATATTAAATTTTATATTTATATTTATATTTATATTTATATTTAAATTTAAATTTATATTTATATTTATATTTAAATTTAAATTTAAATTTATATTTTTTTTAATTTATATTTATATTTAATTGATATTTATATTTAATTTATATTTATATTTCAGATATTTGTTATATTTTAATAGATTTATAATTTCTCTGCAATAAATCAAAATAAATTAGATTGGAAAATTCTATTTTTCTTATTTAGTACATTTAATATTATTAATATTTTAATTATTATTAATATTTCATGGGATTCGTTCTGTTTCCATTTTGATAAAAACATATTATGTATTTCAGGTATTTTAGATATAAAATATATTTCTAAGATATTTTTATTTTCAAGATATTTCAAAGCGTTTTATAAATTATAGATTTTTCTTTTTAAAGATATTTTTCTCTATTTTAATATAATTCAATATATTCTATTTATTTCTATATTTTCGATGTTTCAATATATTTTACCTTTTTTATATCTTTATTATTTATAAAAATGTGGTTTATATATTATATGTTGTCAGATCATTTTAGCTATTATTACATTTTTATATAATCATTTCTATTTGTATTAATTCTTATTTTTAAATACTTTATATTCATATTTTTCATATTTTTAAATATATTTTTATATATTTTTATATATTTTTATATATTTTTATATAATTTTTATATATATTTTTATATAT